TTCGCTCTGGTGTTTCGGTTGGTGATGAAATGGACTATTCCTTCAAAGTATTTTTTCTGGAAGGTTTTCTGCCACATATGCTGCCACACATGGTCTAAAAGAACTGTAGCAACTCAAATATCCATAGCTATTATAGGAATATGATAATGTGGTGTTTACCCTTTGAATTCTAACACAAATGTTATCAGACGATGTTCAAAATCAGCCCTATATGCTCTGGAGTCCTATATGGTGTTTACTTTTTCCTAAATCTTTTGTTTAATGTCAAGATAACCAAACAGTAGCCTTTTATTTATCCAATTAAAGACTTAGTGCTGCTTGGTAACTCCCATCTCTCCTGTGATAGTGGCCTGTATCAGTGAAATGCCTTTGACGCAAGGCTCCACGTCCTTGTCCTCCAACAGAATGTAAGTGAAACACTCTCTCTACAGACCATATAATAATGGCAGCTTTCCCAGAAGGACAACTCGCACTATTAAGGATCATTAACATTGTGCAAACCTTTTTTCTCTTCACAAAGGGAGCAAGTGAGCGACGCCTCTCGTTAAGTGCTTTGACCCAGTCCTTGATCCCCACTTTGAGGCCTGCTTAAAAGGATACAAACATTACTTGTTCCAGCTGGACATGAGGTGAGATGACAATTCACATCTTCTTCAACTTTTAGTGTTTTAGTGCTTTTTCCACTTCCACATTGTTGGTAATACACTGATATTTGTTCCTTTGATCAGAAACAGTTCTAATCAAAAGTATGTTTTGTTTGTTTTGGTTAACGTTAAAGGTGCACTATGTAACTTTTGGGTTCGGAGTCTGTTACCTGCTTGTCTCTATGGCTATATCATTGCTCTGCCTGGAATGTTCCACAGTATGACACTGCAATAATAATAAAGAGGTTAATTTTAAAGATTGGAATTTAAGAGTTCTAAGTTAAAGCAGGGCTCACTTGGCCTTTGTGAGTGTTTGGCTTTGACTAGAAATATAGGGGCACCACTCAACAAATGCTGAGAAATATTACCAAACCAATATAACCATTTATCTAAGTAAATTAATTAATTAAACAATGGTTCTGAATGTTTGTAAATTCTTGTTCATATCAGTGACCCACATATGGAAATAACATCACTATTCACCAAAGCAAACTGTGGTTTATGAATATTTATTGACAGACCGCTTTTAGATATGAAATACGCAAATGAGTGTAAGATACTCTAGATTGGTGTCTAAAGATTAGAGATTAGGTACAACTTTAAAAGTTATATAGTTATAGTTATAGTTATGTGTTGAGTCTAAACTGATCAATTAAGCCTATCTGTGATACGTGTGCATATGACCAGAGGGAGTGGAGATGTTCGCCACAGTGTGGTCCAGAGGTCCAATGGTTTGGAGGTCTGAAGTCCTTAGGGAATCAGGTCTGAAGAATCAAACAAGCTGAGACGGACAGAGGCCATGTGATGTAAAACAATATCTCCAGACTCAGGCAGCATCAGGCTGAAGGACCTCTGTGTCTTCTGTTTAAAGAGGAGCAGAAGACACCTTCCCAGTGTTCATAAGGTCTGAACAGCACAGGTCACAGAATATGGCCCATTAAGCCAAAAAGGCTATTGACTAAAAAAATGCATATATATACATTTTGAAAAATATGAAAGCTTCGCTTCTGTTCAGATAACCTACAAAAAGACCCGCACAAATTTGGAAGAGAGAACTGGAAGTTTTAACGTCTTGGGCATTGTCTCTCTGGAATGTTCTTTGTCCAGCAAAGAAGATAACGAGCTGCTCTGTGTCTCCTTGTTTCTCTGTCCTCTCTGGTCGAAGGTCCGAGTTGAACTGTTTCGTTGAACTGAGTGGGGTCTTCTCAGTGAAAACAGTCTATATCCTGCTGTAACTACTCACTTAAGTTTTAGTGGGGGAATGTTAAACCAAATCAACCATTATAATGGAACCGTTAACAGTTTTACACAAATAAAAGATATTCACATGACATTTACAGATCAATATTCAAACAATGTTGCCAATATTCACCGCATGAACAGTTTACACCATTCCTCTTCTTTCTGTGGAGAAAGTCCATTAGCTGAGATTTTTTGTCTTGGTTATGGCCAGTTTATTAGAATTTACTTCAGTCAGTTGGTTTCTTTGTAGGAGAAACATTGTAGATCTTATAGCTCTTTTGGAGAGTCTTTGTATAAGAGAAGTTAAAGAATGTTTGCTTGCATACAAGTCTTTATCCATCTTATCCTATCAGCTCTAGGGCCCAGAGAGCTGAAGGGAAGCGGGGGATGGTTGTGCATCCTTGACAGTCATAGAAGGCACCTAAACTACTTGGTTTAGTGGAAATTTTCTTCATAAACTTCCGATATCATGGCAACAGTGAAGCGGTTGCTTCTCACAAGGTCCACCTGCAATACTACAACATTAAACAGCTCTACCTTACATTGATTAAATTACTGGTGTTTTTATAGCTCAAAAATACCTAGAAAAACAGGCAGTCTGTGAGCTGACTTGTCTCTCCACAGATCTGACCTGTGACATGTTCTGGTTTGGGCTCCATGATAAAAAGGTTTAATATTATACTGTCAAACATTCCAGACAAAGCAATAATGTCTCCATGGAGAAAAGCATTTGACAGACCCTCCACTAGAAAAGTTACACGGTACACCTTTAAATCTTCAAGGTGAGTCATCACTTACCTCAGTATCAAGCTGTTTTTTTCTTAGTGAGTTTTTATTATACATTAGGCAACATAATATGCTCAGACTTGTAAACCTTCCAATTCACTTGAAAATGTCTAATCCTCAAACATGGGAACATAAATATGGGAAGGCAAGGCAAGTTTATTTGTATAGTACAATTCATACACAAAGTCATTCAAAGGAAAATAAATTGCATTGATAGAGAGTTGATAAGGGATTTCTGCACTGGAAAAAGTCTAGACAATTGAGTCAGATGTTCCCAGCAGTGCTCCCCTGAATAGGCCATTCTTGTCAGTCTTCACATTTGGCTAGTTGCAACAAGAAAGGCATCCAGTGTTAAAAAAAAAAAAAAAAAAAGGTGATAAAAGTGTCTCATAAGGTTGGCAGTCAGATCCCAGCTCTGGCCAGCGGATCATTTCACTTCTTAAGCATAACACTTCACTTCACCTTGAACGTGGTGTGTGGGTGAGTGATTGTGGTTGTTGAGGACATTGGTGCAGATTGACAGCCACATCTCGGTCAGTCAACTCTAGGGCATCTGTTGTGTGGGGAGTGAATGAATAATAATGCAATGAAAAGTTTTTAAGTGTCCAAAATGTTATGTAAATCTATATTACAGCTGAATGATATTGGAGAATTTTGTGATATGCGATGTGGCTGATAAAGGAGCACCTCGTAACTTCTTCAGTGGCAGGTCCGCTACTTGCTTGTCTTCATGGAGATGTACATTTTTTGCCTAAAATGTTCCACAGTAGGGCATTAAACATTAGACTGATTCATCACTTCGTGGAAACCATCTGACCTCGCAGCATTGGGATTCATTCGCTTAACAGTAGGCGAGTACTTTTTTATTTAACCAATCACTGCTATTTGCTTGTGACGTATGTAATGCACATCCACGGCCATCTGGAACGCTTTGTTTACTGTTGTGCCGTACCAGAAATGGGACTCAGACAGGCGCTTGAGTTTGACGTCATGGCTTCCCAACTCTTCGTTGATTGGCCAGTGCATGGTCTACAACTTCCGGGGTTCTTGCAAACCGTCTAGTGTATTCAGATTCCTGACCTAGTTGCTGGGGAGAAATGAAATTGAGTGGAGGCACTAGGTGGTGCCAGCCTGGCTAATTAAGCATATTCCTCTTGCATTTGTTTAATTACAGGCGTTTAATAGCTCAAAGATATCTTAAAAAGCATAAATTCTTTCCAAGTGTTTCCATGTGCAAGTTTGCTTCTCCACAGATCTGACCATTAACCTGTCTCCATTGTTTTATTTCCATACTGTGGAATAATCAGGGCAAAACAATAATATCGCAATAATTTAAATTATAATAAAACAATATTTTTTTTAAATCACATGCTTTAATTTACTATGTGAGACAAAACCAGGTCTTAATACAGGCTAAATTTGGATTTAATAAGGATTTAATTAAGGAAATGTTGACATATTCTTTAAAAAAAAACTGCTTTACTTTAAAAACTGTCAAATGGAGAAACATTGTGTTCCTGCGATGTGTTGCAATATTGATTATTGCGTCAGTCAATTTTGCGATATCGATACTTTTGCAATATATTGTGCAGCCCTAATAAGCATGTATTTATAACAAGCAAAAAAAGATACATACTCCTAGCTGCTAAGAGATAGAAGACAAGAAGACATTAGAAAAATATCTTACACCACATTGCTAGTGGAACTAAGTCTGTCCGAATGCACATGTAATGGAGTCCAGCTAAATATATAGTTATCTGCAGCCTCCTGTGTAGCAAATTGTAACAGTAAATGCAGGTAATTTTTCACCATGTGTTCCGAAAGGACTTTGAGAAAGAACCCATTACTCGCCTCTCTCTGGCCTTTTCTTTCTCTGCTCCCTATTCCCTCTCACTTGTTCGAGCTGTATGAGGCTCCACACCAATCTCTGTATGCCTCCTCCTGTGCCTATTTCTCCCTCTATTCTATAATAAGGTCTTTCATTGTTTTACCCACAAACAAAAGAGCTAAAAATACAAAAAACGTGCTCAATGACTGTTGCTATAAACAAAAAGAGATTCTATAAAAGCTCTCACGACTGTTCATTATTTTTGGAGAGAATTTATTTTCGTTGTGCCAAAAAGGGCCCGCCTCGCACTCTCAATCCTTATTTCATTTTCCAACAGTTCACAGGCTGCGAATGGGCTGACAAAGCCTCTAGCAGTGGCCAGTCGGAGCAAGATGCACATCCTGTTTAGATTCAACCTCTGGAACCTACATCGCGGCGAAAAATAGATTCACAATCACCTCTCCACCTCTGATATCATAGCCTGCACATGGGGCTATTACTGGGAGAAAATGAAAAAGGCCATCACTATCATTTCCAGGCGCTATGACCAATATGAAGCCACTGGACTAAATCGACAGTACCTATTCACTATGAGGACTTTGTTCAGGCTGTGATGAGTGTGGCGCACCCAGACGAGAGGTAGGGAATATATGCACTTTACCCTCTATCAAGGAGCCTATTTTCAACACAGTTTTTTATTCTGTTAGCAAGATAATGCTAAAAGTATAAGGTTTTCCTGTTTTTCGGTAAGGTCTGTAATGAAAAGTATTTATTTGAATACTGTGCAGTTCTACATATAATGATAGATGTCCTTAGAAAGATGTATGAAAGAATGTATTCCTGAACTTTACCAACATTTCATATGCCAGTAATTAGATGTATCGATTAGCCGATATTTGGTCTTTTTGCTTATTGGATATTGGCATTACATCTCCAGCAAAGTCTGATATTTTGGGTGCCTAAACCATGAAGCTTTATTTGAACACTTAAGTGCAAAAACAGAACTGAAACATGCTGAAAAAGTGACAACACAGTATTCTTTAAGGTTTATGGTTAAAAAAAAGGGGCTTTGGGTGAGTTTGAAGTAAATTTAAATTACCTAAATATCGCCCAACAATATCACCAAAGCTTATCTGCCATCGGTTTGTTTAATTCTAAACAATATGAAAAAAACATATCAGTTAATTTTTACAAAGTAATTCAGATTACTTTGATCACAATTTCTGAGAGTTCACACTTCACTGTGATTGGTTAGTTCCACGTGTCACTCACTCAGAAGCCAGTTGTTTCTAATTTTGCTAGCTAGATTAAGCTGAAAATATACTTTTTATAATATGCATTGAGCAAACTGTACTGTTTTTATCTTTTCTATTTAGTGATTATTTGAGATAAAGATATATGACCCAAATCTCGTCAACTAACAAATTTCATGTGAGTATAATTTGCATTATTCTAGTAATTAGCGTGATTGTGCAAGTTTGAATTTTTGTCATTTTTGCTTCACCTTTCTGTCTTATGTAATAAAATGTTCCAGCTAAGAGTAATGACTGAGGAGAATTTTCACTTTTTTTCAAATGTCACAAACTGTACAAATGTTTGAAATCTTTGACTGACTTGAAATATTTTGCCTGACACTCTCTTGGCACACAGTTTCTGGAGCAGGTTACCTTTCAAACATGAGCGACGGTGTCCGTGTTCAGCACTTGTGCCTTGGTGTTTCGATTTTCTCTTGAACTGTACAAAAAGAGAAATAATTAGGAATTTGACAGATGTCTAAGTCAGGAGAGGCAGGAGAGGGCAGGAACAGGTGACCCCCTCTGCGCCCGGAGTGATGACATAGCTTACCCTGACAGCTGAATGAAAGGCTCTGCTCCACCCACCTCCAATCTGTCTGGCTCTCACAAGTAATGAATGTTCACCCCTGTGCGCCTGTGCCTGGATGAACTTGACTGTGATCAGGAGATGGGGCACAGATAGCAAGAGGGAAAGCAAGGACTGCAGCAGAGGTTATTACCTGGAAAAGTTTTATCGAACATTTTGTGAGAATCTCTTTTGGGAAGGAAAAAATCAGCTTGCAAATGGAAATCGATGCATTTTAAAAAGCTTATATGTAGATGTTCAGTTGTGTATATTATATGTCAGTATGAAGCCAAATCTCCTTTTTGATAATAATGTTTTAAATTAAGTTTTAATTCAAAATGTAGCTTCCAAAGACCCCCAAGGCAACAGACGGAGTGTCAAAATATGTATAATATTTATTTAAACATTATTTAATCAGGAAAGTTTGATTGAGATTGAAATTGTGGTGAACTCTCAATCTTTGAGCACAAATAGTGGCATTGAAATTTGTAGCGACCGGCCAGCTGTTATGTCAAAGATTCAAATTGTTTGGTCATGTCCTTGTACACTATTGTTGCTTCCATTTTCTGTTTAATTCAATTTTAAATTATTAAAAAGAAAAGTAGGAAATGGAAATTATGTTATTATGAGGAACTGCAAGATTTTTAGAAAGCTCCCTGATTTATTAGTTTTACTATGTCCTTTTGAAACATTGTATTACCTGAACATTTTCTACTAACCTTCTGCAACTATGCTTCTTCCATTTTAAGTGTTTGTGAGTATGAAGTGTTTAGCATATCATAATGTGTATTATGGCATAACTATTGGAAATAGCAGCTTATCTTCTTGTTTCTTTACAGGTGAAGGACACGTCTGTCTCCGAATCCCCTATAGAAGAAAAGGTGACACTAATGCAGACTATGCAGAATGTACAGCAGTGCACATGTCATACTTCTCCCTACCCACTCAGCTGTCTCACTTTCTTTAATCGGTTGTTCTTGGGGAAGTGGCAGCACATACATCGTGAAGGTCACTTGACATTAGAGGAGCACAAATTTCCATGTTCAAAAGAGCGCAGGAGAAGGTGTCGGATATGATATTAACAATGGGATCCTTCTGCTTGTCACATGTTTCATGCTCCACCTCCAGGCGCTGCAGGTTGTCATAAAGCTGTCGAGGGAAGAAGTCACCTTCTTCAGCACGACTCTCAGATGCTCTCTTTCTCGCTCGCGCGCATAGAATCTTGCCGACTGGCTCATTTAAAAAAACACACAATATGTCATCCAACAGAAACCTCCAGAGGACATTCAGTGAATATTGTATGATTCTATTTGAATCATTTTTGTTATTGTTCTACTGTGGTTGCCCGGCAGGAGCCTTGCTTCTTGTTCGCCTAAAATGTCATATGCTTCAATTCCATTATATTTTCGAACAATAGCTCAGAGTGAAAAGGTGATTTTAAAAAGAGCCAGCCATTTTGCCTCAAATGCGCTTGTATAGAACCTTATATTAAATAAGAAAATGCCCTTAGAGTAGGAGAAGGACAAACAGCTGTAACGTCAGATCTTCCCTGAGACCTATAAAATGATCTCACTTGGTGATAACAGACAATACTCTACAACAGCATGCTTTTGTACTGGGTGATGCATCAAGGGAAGTAATTACAGTCACTACTGACAGATCGATGAGTAATGCTGACAATAATACCTGGCTCCTATAAAAGACACATTTTCCTCTGCAGGCTTCCAACATTTATGGCAGAGCTGTCTTTGTGTTAAACATCTTGCCTGTTTTGTAGTTATTACACAGAGCTATTTCATGCTGCGTTTGGCGGTGTTCTTCTGAAGGTAAACTGGTATTCAGTGTATCACAATATATCAGGCTTATTTATGTTTGCTTTTTTAATGTTAATCCTTTACCTCACCGGCGGCGCGTGTTATAAATCTCAGCGTGCTAATTATTTCCACTCTTTTTTCTTTTCAGTTCCAAATCCTTTCTGTGCCTGGAGAGGAAAATCAACAACAATGTGGACTGTGCTGCTTGCTCTTTGTTTGGGAAATATTCTGGTCACAGGAGAAGGCAGTGATCAGCATTCACAACCACTCTCTGTAATTGAACTCGCTGGAACCACCACGTCCCCTGGTCTTTTAATACAAGAAAAACAGAAATCCAACAGCTCAATCCATCCACCTCGAGTAGCAGGACCAAAAGCACCGCTGCCTCCCATGTGCTCAGAGCCAGCTCGAATCAGAGACGCCTTCAAATATGTCAATACTGCCGTCTCCCTCCTCGTGTTTGTGGTTGGAATCCTGGGGAATGCAGCCTTATTAAAAATCATATCTGCAAACAAGTCTATGAGAAGTGGGCCCAACATTCTTATCGCCAGCCTGGCTTTAGGAGATCTCCTCCACATTGTGATTGACATCCCAATCAACACTTACAGGGTGAGCTGTTCAAAGCAAAACCCAAACTCTTTTGCTGTTTCTCTTTTCAATTTAAAAGTTAACCTTGAACTGATTGCCGTGCTTGTTTTGGTAACAGCTGATAGCAGAGGACTGGCCCTTTGGATTGGTGCTGTGCAAACTTGTCCCCTTTGTGCAGAAAACCTCAGTAGGCATCACAGTGTTGAGTCTGTGCGCGCTAAGTGTTGACAGGTAAGGAGATAAGCTGTACTCAACAAGAGAATAGTGCCCAATCTCCCCACACTATCTACATCTGTGCGGATAGATTTGTTTAGCATTAGCCCTTGAAATGTTCTTTGGCCAAACTATGTATCACTTTTACAGACAAAAGTCCCCTAGGCCAAAACAGTTTTTTGTATTGATTTTGCAGATACCGTGCCGTAGTATCCTGGAATCGAATCAAAGGCCTCGGGGTCTCAGCATGGACAGCGGTCGAAATAGCCCTGATATGGGTTGTTTCCCTCATACTGGCTGTGCCTGAAGTGGTGGGGTTTGATATGATAACCATGGACTATAAAGGCACACATCTGAGAATATGCCTCCTGCACCCCATGCAAAACTCGAAGTTCATGCAGGTAATGTGATTGTTCCCACCGGATACAAACATTTCTTTTGTATTGAGATAGTGGACAGCGAGTATACTGTGTGAGGACAAAACACTGATTTAGACTTTAGAATTATGTTCGTGTAACCAAATGTTATGTTAAAGTTATTATAGTTATTTTAAGTTATTGAAGGTAAAACATTCTTAAAAAATTTTAATAATAGTGAAAGCAGTAGCATTTTTCTATTTTTTCTGCAGTAATTAATGTAGTTGTAGTTCTTTTAAAGGTGCACTATGTAACCTTCTGGTGGGGGTTCGTCACCTGCTTGTTTCTATGGATATGTCATTGCTCTGCCTGGAATATTCCACAGTATGACTTTAAACAGCTCTACCTTACATGAATTATGTTACCACTTTACATATCTGACTTTAAAGTGGTCTGATTTGGTCTCCGTGATGATACAAAGTTAAAATCATACTGAAAAACATTTCAGACAAAGCATTAACACTGCCATAGGGAAAAGCATTTGACAGACCCTCCACCAGAAACGTTACACAATGCACCTTTAAACATAAATGTAAAACTCATCAGAAAAACTGCAGTGACATGCCTTCAGCTTTGTATGACTGATATGTATTGTTGAACACAGAAAGAGCAAACCCAGAGTCTTGTCTTGTCAGGCTGCACATATAGGTTGACTGAGTTACCTGTCTTGCCCTATCCACAGTTGTATAAATCAGGGAAGGACTGGTGGCTCTTTGGCTTCTACTTCTGTATGCCTCTGCTCTGGACCGCTGTATTCTACACTCTCATGACGACGAAAATGCTGAGGAAGAACTCTGAGGCTCTAAGCGACCACACCAAGCAGGTCATTTGTCACTTGTGTTATTTCCAAGTACCCAGTTCTCACATAAATCATCTTTATAGCTTTACTATCACTCTTAACTGGACTGATCATATCTTTGCCATTGCAGAGAAGAGAAGTTGCAAGGACTGTTTTCTGTTTGGTGATTGTCTTTGCGCTCTGCTGGCTTCCTTTGTACCTCAGCAGAATCTTGAAAAAAACAATTTACGATCACAAAGATCCCAATAGGTGTCAGCTTCTGAGGTGCAAAATGAAGAGAAATTTTAAGAGAAATTTTAATTATTTCATCCTCAAATTGTTTTTCTAAGTATTTTTTCATTGCAGTGTTTTTCTGGTACTGGATTATTTTGGCATCAATATGGCATCACTCAACTCCTGCATCAACCCCATTGCTTTGTACATTGTCAGCAAAAGATTTAAAAGATGTTTCAAGGTAAGACTAATTTTGTGTTACTGCCAGGGGTGGGAGGAATACTTTGAAAATGTATTTAGTTACAGAATACTGAATACCTGTATTAAAATGTATTTTGTAACATATTCTGATCAGATTCAATCAGAACACTGTATTTTGAATATTTTCACACAGAGTTGCATTTAAATTAGTGTCAGTGCGCAACGTAAGGTTAAAAACAGCTTTATATTTGTTTTTTACGTTTGCTCTCAGTCAAATTTTATTTATAGAGGGCTTTTCATACAAAAAAAATGCAACACAAAGCTATAACCGTAGAAGGAAAAATTATACATTTCTATAAATTGTGTGATCAAGTACTGGTATGTGTTCCTTATACTTTAAAAAATGTATGAAAGAAATGAAAAAGAGTAACGTTATCAGTATACAGTTACTCAAAATTAGTGTTCAGAATATGTATTATTGGCACATGTATTCAGTTATTTCCCTGGTTATTGGCTTAAAGATGCACCACGTAACATTTTTGGTAGAGGCTCCGCTCACTTTTTGTCAGGCAGCTAAGGTCTATGGAGAGGTGACCCCACTCACAGTAAGAATGCATGTATTTCAAGATATTTTTGAGCTATAAAAACAACTTTAAATTAATGAGTATAAGATGGCATAGTGTGGAATAATCCAGACAAAGCAATAACATCATTACAGAGACAAGCAGGTGGTGGACCCCCCAGAAAGTAATACAGTGCACTTTTATATATGAAGATGTAATCGCTCAGTTATTAAGCACATAATACAGTCATTTGCAACTCTCTTTCATATAACTATATTTTCAGCTGAACATTTAAAATTTATTAGGCGAGACTTTTATGTGTAATAGCCGCAATACATTTTAGATTTTTGATGGGGCAATAAAAGCTACAAAGCAGTTATAAAAATCACTGAAGAAGAATTTTTCACTTTTTGTATTTGCAACATGTCCATAAATGACTCGGTTTGGACCTTTAGTAATGTCTTATTAATATTGGATGCATTGATTGCTTGTAGTTTTGCAGCATTACATCATTCTAGACTAGACATTACTCAATTGGAGCATAAGTAGTAGTTATAAAATGCTGATTGAACAGTGTTTAATCATATTACCTACTCTAGTTAATATTGTAGTTTTGTTACATCAAAATCTAAAACATTACAGCAATAATAATTACAATTGCTTCATGTGCTCTATCCTGTTGGTAGTAACAGTGATTTTAAAGGTCTTATATTACACAAAACTGACTCTTGTGAGCTTCTAGTTATGTTATAATGTTGTTATCATCATCCTCATCCAAAACATACTTGGAGTTGTGTAGAATAACCTTTTACTTTTAGTCTGTCTACATCTTCTAAGCTCAAAATGATCTGTTCCACCTTCTGATGTCATGTAGTGGTAATTTTCAAATTAACAGCTCATTTTACCTTTAGTTCAGTATCCAAATGATTTGAGTCAGGGAGGATGGATTTTAAAATCACAGTAGAGCACTTACACATCACTAGCCTGATTCAACAGCCCATTTCACTTCGTAGAAACTGTCTGACCTTGCAGCATTAGAATTCGTTCACTTGAAGATAGGCGGGTACTTTTTTTCATTTAACCAATCGCTGCTATTTGGTTATGACATACGTAATGCACCGCTAACGGGGCTAACTGGTATATAAAGC